TGATTTAGCTTGTGGATCATTATGTAGTTGGAAAACTACAATTTTTAGACATATAGACTTAAATCTTAGTTCTCTTACCAGTTGTGTGATTTTTGGCATGTTGCTTGACTCTCTGAGGCTGAGTATCCACTATTGCCTTCTCTAACATAGGAACTACATTGGCTGTTGAGAGGATTAAATCAATGTACATGATCTATGTGAAGCTTGTAGCAGAGGGCTACAGATACACGTTTCTCCCTTCTTTTCTTTCATTAAATCACTGCTGTATTGATGATTACATGGCTTGTTTTCCTTCTCCTCATGGGTACCCTGTCTTCTGTGTAAGAGGGGGGGCCCAAAAAACTGGAATTTATAAAAAATTGTGTATTTATTCCTACATGTATTTCACAAAACATGATTCCAAATGATCTTAGCCAAAGTTTTATTTGGAAGTTTTAAGAAGGTTGAATCATGATTTGCAGAAAAAGAGTCCCAAGTTGTGGCAAACAGATGGTTTGTTCTTCCACTATGATAATGCACCTATCCACACAGTGCTGCATGTACAGCAATTTTTGTCCAAAATAACTCCCACGTTCCACCCTCCCTATTCACCTGATCTCATCCAAGTGACTTTGTTTGTTTGTTTGTTTCTCCTGATGAAAAAAGTTCTCAAAGGAAAACACTTTGCTGATGTGGAAGAGGTGAAACAAAAAACAGCAGAAGCACTAAAAGGTATTAAAATTGATGAGTCCAAAAACTGTTTTGAGCAGTGAGAAAAGCATCTTGGTAGGTATATTTCATCAAATAGTTCTTTAATAGCCATTGAAGGTGACTAAAGTTTAAACATGTAAAAATAAATACACAACTTTTTATAAAAAAAAAATCTTGGCTTTTTGGAGTCCCCACGAATATTATTAAGATGGAGGCTGAGGTGAGTGGATTGCCTGAGCTCACAGGTTCGAGACCTGCCCAGGCAACTTGGTGAGACCTCATCTCTACAATAAATCAAAAATTAGCCGGGCGTGGTAGCGCGCGCCTGTAGTTCCAGCTACTTGGAAGGCTGAGGCGGAAGGATCGCTGGAGCCCAGCAGGTCGAGGCTGCGGTGGCTGGGAGCGGCCACTACACTCCAGTCTGGGTGACAGAGTGAGACTCCAACTCAACAACAACAGAAAAAGATATGCTAATATGCAGACTGATGCATTAAAATGCTACCTTATTAATCCAGGACACCCCTTACCACATTATTAGAAATTCACAACCATTCTGTCAGGGCCCAGGCTGAGATTTACTTTGTCAGTCTAATCATATGGGAAGCAGAAAGGGAGGTCAAGGTGGAAAGTAAAGGTGTAATCCGACCCAGAACTACTTTCATGAGGTGCATGATACTGGTTTCACTTTATATAAGTAGTATATAACTGACAAAATGTGGTATTTAGGGAGGCAATTGCATTTATTTTTAAAAATTACATCATTTTAATATCTTATGGCATTCATATAGACTGGGAGAGAAACCAGATGATTTCCTAAATATACATGTATCCACAAACTCCAAAAATTTAGTGATAATGAAGAGTCATTTGTGTTTGGTTGTTCCAGGTGTTTTCAGGTATGTCAGATACTCTTGCAATTGCTCAATTTATATAAACTTCACATTTTCCCACTTAACCCTTGGAGCTAACATTGAGTTTGTCTTAATTTTATAAAAATCTTTCCATGGTTTTGTGGTAAGGAAAGAATGAGCTTGGAATCGTCTCCAAAAAAATCTTTAAATGTTTAAATTTTATGATTGTGTAACAAAGAAGAATATGGAAGAATTGAAGATTAGAATTAAAATTTAGCCTGATATAAGCATAGTTTTGGTATGTGTCTCTATCATTGTCAACCACTTCCAGAGCTGTACAGGATCAGGCAAAGGATTACTCCTGAGGGTCTTAGTTTTCTTATCTGTAGATTGGAAAGAATAATATCCAGTTTACCAGACTGTTTGAAGGATTAATTAGAACTTCAATTTCTCAGGATCTATAGTACAGAATAGTACCCGGACCAATGGTCACATGACTGTGGGAAATGTATACTTTATATTAGTTCTGTCCAGTCTATTACGAGAAACCCACTGAGTTCTGTGCTGGGCAATGCTGAACCAGCAAGTATAGGAATCATTATTTTCCTTACCCTCTCCTTAATCTTTACTTTATATTTTAAGGTCCCAATTTAGAGTGCAAAGATATGGAGCAGTCATATGCCGGGAAAGGGGTGCAGGGGAATTACGTCCACACTGGATCAGATCAAGACCTGAAGAGATTCAAGGTCAATATTATTCTAAAGCTCTGGATGGTGATTCTGAATCACCAAACTTTAAAGAAATATTTTTTCCCTGCCTGCTAATCCCTTTTGAATAAAAAAGTCTATTTGCAAGCAGGGTGAGAAGCAAAAACGTCTTTGTGCTCCTTACTACCAGAAGCAAAATATCCTCTGAGAAGGAATTGAGGTGAAGAAAGCATTTTCAGTTGTACTTAGAGTGCATCAAAAGTAGTTAATTTCCCCTTTTCAGTGAATAAAAAGGCAGAACGTATGGTTTTCCTAGCAAAGTGTTAGAGATATAACGTGTCCCCCCCCACACAATGGTAAAAACAGTAACAAAGAAAAGAAAATGCCTTGGTTAATGAATACAGAGATAGAAAGCAAACACCAAGTGAAGGGTTGAGTATGGTGTCCTTAGTAAATAAATGAATACAAGGATAAGTAAACAGAAACCACATGAGAGAAAATATGGACTTTAGTATTGTTGTTTGCAAAAGAATAGAGATGAATCCTTTTTGCCAAATTGGGAACACTGATAATCAAACATTGCATTTGTTTTGATATTCATGGCATCAGTTCAATTTGTCATTAATTAAATGAGCAAATTAGAGAATGCCTGTTTTAAGAAATCACTCCAAAAATAACCTTGCAAAATCAGGTTAGAGATACACTATATACCCTAAGGGCAGCAGGAAGTAAAAGGGAAAATATGAAATTAGAAAGTGACCTAAAATAATCACTTCACTGGTAGAGGTGATATAACCTCTATTATCAATCAGGACCTAGTTTGATGTCTAATTTCACTGGCTGTCTAATTTAGCAAATTAAATTAAGTACAAATGAGGAAATACTTGGCCAGGGGAAAAAAATAACTCTATGATTTTGCTTTCTATCAGCTGAAAAAAATCAACCCATTAGCACAGACAGGTAAAAGTAAGCTCCAGTATTTCAGTGAAGAAGAAAAATAAATACAAGGAATCGTTCACCCAAAGCTGACCTATCAGAAGATATTGTTGACAAAAAAAAAAAAAAAGAAAAGATTTTCTGTGCTTGCTATATATTCAGAATGGAGAAATGATTGAATTTTTTCCTTCATTTATTCCATCAATATTTAAATGCTCATTCTGTGGCAGGTTCAAAATCATTGCTTTATGGGCTAAATGATGCTTTGCAGATTTGCAGCTGCAAGCTGTTGAGGGTCTAATGCATCAATGCCGCCCCCTTTCATGGCTCATAGATTAGCGAGGAAGTTGTTAGATGGTCCACTACCCTCTGCAGATGTTTGAAGACAAGAATCCCCTGACAGGAAACACCCCAAGGTTGCATCCAAAGCATCTCAAATTCTGTTTCCTGCAGTACCAACAATGCAGACACTCTCCTGACCCTCTGCTGTGCCCTGTGCTAAAGTGTATCCTGAGTAAACAGGAACTTGGGGATATAATACATTTTTGAAGCAGGGGCACCAGAGGTTATTCACAGCTGTAAGAGAGAAGCCCTGCACGGGAATTTAGAAGCCTTCTGGGCCTAGAGCAATTGATGAAGTGCAGAGTGCTGAACCAGCAGGAGAGTCCAACCTGGGCAAGCTGCAAGCCCTCTCTGGACCCTGGTTTTTCTCGCCAATAAATGAAGGCTGTGGGAAGGGATGTTTTGAATTCAGACACTTCTGGTTTTTCTGTTGCAGCTCATTTGTTTCAACATCTGGAATTCTCATTTAAAAAAAAAATTCCTTTGAAATGGGAAGAAAAGTGATGATCTTTTAAAAAAGTGATTCACAGAACAGGGAATTTGGTAAAGACAGAAGTCCTTCAGCCTACCTCACCTGGACTTTCTTTCTGCTCCTTCTTCCTTCTTTGGCTCATCTGACACCTGCTTCCTCTTGGTTCCTTTTTACAATCTCATCACTCCTGGTGTGACAGCAGGTGCCTGGAGTAGTTGCTGTTTGAAACAGCACTTCTTTATTTCTCTGTCTTATCAGTTGAAATTTTCAAATGGGTCCTTTCTTCTCTACCTTGATTGTTAAATCCCATCCCTCTACCCTTTGTTGTGCTGACTTTCTACCTAAACCTTGTTCCTACTGTTTTAAATTTCACATACCCATTTCTTGTGTAATCCTGAAACACTTAATTCTGCAAAACTGTCTATATATATTTGGATGAAAATGTCACCAGTATAGAAGTTGTTCTGTTTTCTATGAATCCTTTACTTGTCTCAGCTGGTATCTCTACATGGATATATAGACTAATACGGGTTAAAGGGTATAGACAGTGTTAAAAAGGAATAACATGTAATACATTTTGGAACACTCTACAGATGTACTTTTCTACACTTTGATGGAGAGTGTGCATACCCCAACAAAAAACTGAGTTTTCACAAAACCCTTACAGAAAAGAAATATTACATATTCAATACATTCATATATATGTATATATATTTACCATGTTTAGTTATGCATGGGATATAGTAACATATCTTTTTTCTTCATATGGACTCCTCCCCCCATTAGGTTCTGGTAATATTTAAAATATAGAAATCCTGTTCATTAAAATATCTTAATTAAAATATCTATTTCTTCCCTTAGAAAAAGAATTAAAACTTTTTAGGGCCTAGCTTTAAAAAGCAACATGCTATAGCTGATTTATTTTGGTGGTGGTTTTTATGGATGTGAAAAATATTACCACTGCAACTAGCAAGAACTATAAATGATACATTATTGCAAGTGTTCTAAAAAATCAGAACAAAACTAATTTATTACAGTTCTGTCTTCATTTTACACCACGTGTTGTTGGTGAGTTAAACACAACAAAATTATTGTCTTTTCTTTTAAAAGTGTCTACTAAAGATAAAAAGAATAAGGTAACAATTAACATGTAGTTTGTTACATTAAAAAATCAGATATACATATTTCTATGGCCTGTTAGCTTGTTCTAAGCCTCTTGAACTATTACAAAAAAAGAAAAAGAAAAGTCATTGTTCAAAGGCAAACATTCAGTTGATACAACATTACAGTACAGTCAACTAACATCATTCAACGAAGGTAACAAGTCTAGCCTTAGCTTCTTGAGTTAAAAGTCTGTAGACCAGATTGCTACAAAAGGTTCAATGCTGCTTCAAAACTGTATGTTAGCTTTTTGGAGGACATGGTACTTTCTACTGATGGCTTCAGAAGAAGAGGTCATGCTACTGGTAAAAGCAAAGGGGAAGGAACCCCAACCTGTCATTAATCATTTTATTGAGCATTGTAGTTAGAACAGCATTATTGAATTTAGCACAACAACTAAAATAAAATAATAATAATATAATAATCATAATAATGATAAGAATAAAAACCAAACACAAACTGGAAGGCTAGAGTCGCTGCCAGCCGTGTCAAACCCTTGCGATACGCTATACTAAAAAAATTTGAAATATCCACCCGTCCTCTCCACTCTGCCACAAACTAGCAAAGTCAAAATACAAAAGTCTTCAACTTGTTACTTTTGCAGAATAAAGCAAAAATGTCTTTGTGCTCCTTACTACCAGAAGCAAAATATTCTCTGAGTTACCACATGTAATAGCTTCTGGATGTGTCAACCTGGGTTGGCTTGGTGTCTGCAGAACCATCTTTGTCTTTCTCACTGTCGCCATCCCAGAGGTTAATGAGTGGTGGGTACAGCTCATTTAATGGGATTGAAGAGGTTTTTTGCATATACTTTTTCAATGAATGGTGGTAGTTTTTTCTCTTAAATCTTTTGGCAAAGTACACAGCAATAGATGCAAGGCTAATGACGGCAAACATGGACCCCATTACTGCAGCAAGGGCTGTACTGGTTTCTTGATCAGAGATGTCCAGTGCAAAGGCAGCATTTTTGGTCGTGACATTTACACATGACTTTTGAGTCTGCTGATGAATATTGGACACTGTGAGACACACTTCATAATCTGTGGAAGGCTGCAGATGTGTTAAGTTGTATTCATGGACATCTACCGGGACCCTGGCAGTGTATGTTATGTGGGGGTTGTCAATCTTCATAGTGGCGGATGACCATTTTAAGTTTGATGTCATGACATTGGAATTGACTTTCCAGGACACTAAGATGGAATGGGATTCTGTCTGCTTGACATATATTTTTAGCACCTGGGTACCATCCAGAAGTGTCCCATTAACCTTAATTGTTGCTACTCGAGTATCTGCCCCTTGGACATTCTGGGCAACACATGTGTATCTTCCTGAGTCTTCAATTTGTATGTTAGATATTTCCAAGGTACCTTCACTACTTAACTTGTATTTTTCTGAAAGGGTTTCCATGGTTATCTTATTTCCAATGGGAGTGACCCAATAAATTTCAGGTTCTGGCTCAGCCATGGCCCGACAGTCTAGGAAAACCGTTGTGCCAATATCTATGTTTAAACGATTTGGGAATGTGTCATGAGAGATCATTGGGAGGCACTGTTCACTTGAATCCTGGATTAAAACTTCCTTTACCTGATGCCCTTTGTATTCAGGTGGCATGGCACAGAACATAGACAAGGGCTCCATGAAGCGGATGCTTGTTTTGTTGGAGTTGACCCAGTGGATGACACAATCACACCTCAGGGGATTGCTGTGGATACTGATCTCACGCAGATTGGGGAGGGATTCGACTGTCTTTTGGTAAACAGCATTCAAGGCATTGTTGTTCAACATCAAGCTTTCCAGGGCAGGGACACTTCGAAAAGCCAAGCGGTGGATGTAGGACAGTTTGGGGTTATTGGTGGCTTCTAGCTTTGTGAGTTCAGGCAAGTTATCCAGGGCATAGCGGTCGACGGAAACTAGTTCCCCCATATTGTTGATTCCCAGTTCTTTTAACCGAAGCATATTTTTGAAGTCCCCTTCCTGGATTTTGTGGATGGGATTTTTATTGAGGTCTAAGAATTTCAAATTTGGAACTTTTTGTAGGGCAAGTTGAGGAACTTTGACCAGTTTGTTATCGTAGAAAGACAGGCTCTCAAGACTATCCAAGCCTACCAAGGCATTTCCAGGAATGTCAGTGAGATACATTCCTGCCAAAACTAAGCTTCTCAAATTTGTGAGGGGTTTGAAATTCATATCCAGAATTCCAATCACAGGGTTTTCTCCAATCATGAGAATTTCCAGGTTGGGTGTAGAATCAAACCACCGACTATCAATAACTTTCAACTTGTTGGAGTTTAGGTGGAGTCTTAAAAGATTTTTTAAGCCTGAAAAAGCATTAGCAGAAATAGTGCTAATCTGGTTGTGGTTGATGTAGAGTTCTTGAAGGTTGCTGAGGTCTTGCAGACAGTAATCAGTCATCTCCGTAATCTGATTCTCCTCCAAATGCAGAGTAGTGAGCTGGGTCAGGTTTGCCAACCCTACCTCCTTAATGTTCGTAAAGTTGTTTTGAGAGAAATCTAGTTCAGTCAAGTTGAAAAGCTGCTGCAGCTCATCCACGGTCTTTGCAATGTTATTGCTCTGCAAGAGAAGCACCTGTGTGTCACTAGAAAGGTTACTGGGAATTCTTGTTAAGCGGAGATCATTGCAATCAACGGTGGTGGCTTCTCTGTATGTTGACTGTGGGGTAAACCAGGGACGAATTTCACATACGCAAAGTTGTGGACACTCACTATTCTGTATGGAAGACTCAGTTAATGAAGTCAGTAGCAAGCCTAGCACCAATCGGCAAGCCGCTACAACAAAGCTCATCCTAGCCATGCTGGTTTGCCGAGCAAGCTCAACTCCTGACACCTGTGAGTTTTAACAACACAGGAACACTATATTGTGATGTGTAAGACAGCAAGCAGAAAATGTAAACATTCGAGCAAAGTCTCGATTGAGCTGTGCAGAATTCCAGGGTCTGAAGGGATAGTTTTCTGGAGTTTTCAAAAGGCAGAAAGCAATTTAGAGTCTTTTAACTGTGTCTCCCGGTTCCAGGCATGTGTACAGGTCTGTGGCATGAGTTACTTCAGCCAAATCAAAGTCTGGAGATGTGCCTGCAAAGTAGATTAGAACAGATGTTATCCTTAATCGGTATACTTCCTATATTAAACTTTTTCCTTCATTTACTAAGAGGTATAGTCATTCACAAATTGAATAACAGAAACATCCAAAATCCATTAAAAATCATGAAACAAACTTTTAAGTTGCAAGACACTCTTACTGGGACACTAATTTTATTGGTCCTTCACTTTTTTACAATTAAATTGGGACTGCATGTACTACTGGGTAAAGTTATTAAGCAGGCATACACACATAAATGCACAAATGCATATGCACTTACTAGGAACACTAAGAAAAGCCTACAGATGTGATTTCTTTATAAACAAAGATGGCTTTAGAAACTACATCTATTTATGGCTTCAAAAAACAAAACATCATTCCTAACAACAGCAAAACATGATGGTTTATTAAAAGACTTGGAGCTCATTTTTTAGTTATTTAAATTAATACCTCACTTGTTTCCAGGAATTCTTTTTTTTTTCCCAAATGGCTGAGTGTAGTGGTTCATGCCTGTAATCCTAGCACTTTGGGAGGCTGAGGCGGGAGGATTACTTGAACCTAGGAGTTCAAGACAAGCTTGGGCAACATAGTGAGACTTCATCTCTATAAAAAATTAGTGAGGTGTGGTGGCATGTGCTTGTAGTCCCAGACTCAGGAGGCTAAGGCAGCAGAATCTCCTGAGCCCAGATGATTAAGGCTGCAGTGAGCCGTGATTGTGTCACTGTACTCTAGCCTGGGCAACAGAGTGAGATGAGACCCTGACTCAAAAAAAAAAAAAATAAAAAAGTATATTCTGTGGACATTTCAACCAATGCTTTTTTAGTTCAATTATTCTTGTAAAAAAAGTTAATTTAACCACAACATAGATTAAAAACATCAAAGACATTATAGTTGAAAGGTGCTGGTTCAAAATATCACATATTCTATGATGCCATTTATATAAAATATCCAGCATAGGTCAACATATAGAGACAGAAAATAATTTAGTGGTTGCCTACTGCTGAGGGGATGGGAGCGCAGGAATAGGGGTGCTAAAGACTATACAGTATCTTTTTGAGATGATTAAAATATTATAAAATTGTGGCGATGTTTGTACAACTGTGAATATTCTAAAATTATTAACTCTGACACTTTAAATGAGTGAATTACATAATACAAGAATTATATCTCAGTAAAGGTGTTATTTTTCAAAAGTTAACATAACAACAAGAAAAACATCAGTTTTTTCTATATTCTAATAGTCACTTCTGATCACGACTGAACAAAATAGTAAGAGGATTCTCTTCCATCATACCACTAGAAACACAAACATACTTAATTCATATATATACATCTCACATACATGATTTTATTAATCTCATGAGAATGAGACTAAACACTTAATAACTGCAGACTGTGGACATGTTTATTTAGCCTCTCGAAGCTCAGTTTCTTCAACTATAAAATGGAGTTGGTCATAAAAGTATCTCTCTCATAGGATTACTGAGAGAACAAAAGGAATCTATGTAAAGCTCTTAGTGTAGTGACTGACACATTGCGTACTTATAATAGTTAGCATTTGTTAATTATAATTATCCTATTGTATTTTTCATCTACTTTAGTTTTAGCTAAATAGTGGTTGTCAGAGGACAAGTAAAAGAAGGAAAGTTGAGGATACTCAATTTTATTAACCATCATCTATTGGTTTCAATAAGATCTTCTGAGGTCAGATATGCATTACTCACCAGCTTATAAAGATAATATTAGTGGGTAAAGGTTCTAGTTTTCTGCATTCCAATCAGGTGTGAAAAGCCACCTGATTCAGTGTTTGTCTTATCTTCCAAAACTGGGTCATTCACTTGCTAAAGTATTCAAAGTAGTGCTATGTAGTTCCTGACATTTGTTTTTGTTACAGTACACTTCAGTTTTGAGTGCTGAAGGAATTTCAGTGACTTATGTTTTCTTTACCTTCCTAAGATTACTGAAAGGATTCAATGAAATAGAACATATGTGTGCTCAAAGTCCAGTGCTCAACACATAGCAACCTCTCAATTCATGTTAATGACTATTATGAACATTTTTACTTTGCAAAACATAGATATCCTTGTGATTGACCAAGGAGTGTAATAATACAAATAGACAGTACTAAATGTTACATATTTGATGTCATATTTTAGTAGAAATAAATAAAAATCCTACAACTTTTCTGTTGTTTCACAAAATATCAAACTGTATTACTGGTCTAGCAAGACAAAAATCATCCAGTCCAGGTTCCGGCAAGCCTGAGGTAGGAGAAAGAAATGATTGCATGATTGTATTGCATGAAACATAATTGGCAATCTCTCCCTTTTCTCTATCCTCAAATACTTTAGCATTTAATATGAGTCACGCACCACCATTATGGTGTTGTATTCACTGATGGACCACATACATGATGGTGATCTCATAAGATTATAGTACTTTATATTTTTACAGTACATTTTTAATGGTTAGATACACAAATACTTCCCTTTGGGTTACAATTACCTACCATGTTCAGTACAGTACCATGTAAAGTAGAGCAGTAGCCTATAATGTACAATCCAACTGTGTAGTAGGCTATACTATCTAGATTTGTATAAGTACACTCTGTGTTGTTTACATAAGGATAAAATTGCCGAATGACACATCCTGTCATTAAGTAACGCATGACTGTATTTATAAAACTTCTCAGTATAATAAAACTAACTGACTGTTTTATTATGAAATTCTATAAAATGATAACAAACCTCCAAAAATATCATTTTCCAAATATTAACTTCACAAATTTATTCCACTCTTGTTTCTTTTTAGAGTAATCCTAAAATAGGTGCCAAGGGCCACAATAAACACTAAGAATATTTCTGCCACAGGTTATTCCTCAACCTTAATTCAAAATAGAATACCAAAGAATAAACCTACCTTTCATAATTTCAACTAATTTTTATGTTTTGATTGAAATTAAGAAAATTAACAAAAAGTAAGACATGTATTAAAGTTGTGTGAAAGACTTCAAACAGTCTACTACTATTGACTAATAGTTATTATGGGGCTATAGTTTAAATATTATCATGGATAATACCCTCATTTGGGTTTAAATTATATGATCTGAGATCATCGTATTGAATATTCAAATTTCCCCTGGACACATATACATATCTCTTTAAACGAGTCAACCAACCGACTGACCGACCGACTGACCAACCAACCACAGAAATCCAGAATGTTAGATATCATATCAAACAGAGGAAAGGCATTTTCCTCTTCCAAACCTGAATTTAACTTCTTTTGGAGCAGAGAAGGAAATTTCCTTAACACAAAGAGTTGATTAAGATATTTCTATTTGTCTTCCATTCTGAATTATTTTGCATACTGCACCAGGCTAATTTTTGAACATGACATTATACATAGAACAAAGCTTTATAGAGACTTTAAGCCAGTGTAGATGTTTAAAATGTAGAGCATTTTCCCAGGAGCTATTCACCAACAGTGTTTACAAGTAAATGGATTCCCATAAGAGAAAAATATAGACAATATCCCTGATTAATATTGATGTAAAACTTCTCAACAGAAGGTAGCAAACCAAATTCAACAGCATATTAGAAAGATTAAACACGGCCAGGCATGGTGGCTCAGTCTGTAATCCCAGCACTTTGAGAGGCCGAGGCGAGGGAATTGCCTGAGCCCAGGGGTTCGAGACCAGCCTGGGCAACTTTGTGAGACCTCATCTCTATAATAAATCACAAAAATTAGCCAGGCATGGTGACGTGTGCCTGTTGTTCCAGCTACTTGGAAGGTTGAAGCAAAAGGATCACCTGAGCTCAACAGGTCAAAGCTACGGTGGCCGTGAGCAGTGTGCTACTGCATTCCAGCCTGGGTGACAGAATGAGACTCCAACTTCCCCCCGCCAAAAAAAATTTAAACACTGCAAACAAGTTGGATTTATACTTGGAATGCATGAAATGTCCATATATGAAAACCAATCAGTGCGATATACACATTAACAGAATGAACAGCTAAAAATACATGGTCATCTTAATTGATGCACAAATACATCTGACAAAATTTAACACCTTTTCATGATAAAAATACTCAACAAACTAGAAATGAAAGGACACTACCTCAACACAGTAAAAGTCATACAAGAAAAGCCCACCATTTCACTCAATGGTAGAAGACTAGATTTTAATGTTTCTAAAATCGGGAACAAAGAAAGGATGCCTATTCTTATCACTTCTGTTCACCATAATACTGAAATCATAGAGCCATTAGACTACAAGAGTAAATAAAAGGTACCCAAATTTGAAGGGAAGAAATGAAATTATGACTGTTCACAGATGACATGATCTTATATGTAGAAAATCCTAAAAATCCCATGAAAAACTATTAAAAGTAATACACGCTTTTAGCAAATTTGCAGGATATAAAGTCAATACACAAATGAGTTCTGTTTCTATAAACTAACAATGACTAATCTGAAAAGAAAATTTTTAAAAATTCCATTTATAATAGCATAAAAAATAATACAATACTTAGGAATAAACTTAAGGCAAAGAGTTGTATACTGAAAACTATAAAAACATAGTTATAAGAAGTCAAAGATGATACTAACAATGGTAAGACATTCCATGTTTGTAGACTGGATGACTTAATATTGTTTACATGTCTATACTACCCAAAACAATCTACAGACCTAATGCAATCTCTATCAAAATCTCAATGGCAATTTCCACAGGCAAAAAAGTATAAAAGTCATACAGGATCAACAGACCCTAAATCATCAAAATAGTCTTAAAAAAGAAAAATGATGGAGACCTCACATCTTCTGATTTCAAAACATACTACAAGACAACCAATAGTAATCAAGATGGCATACTGGCATAAAGACAGACATATAGACCAATGAAACAAAATCCAGAAATAAACCCTTCTGTATGTGGATGTCAAGGGCTAGAGGGTAGGAAACACTTATGTTTAATAGGTATAGAGTTTCAAT